TACATACATACATACATACATACATACATACATACATACATACATACATACATACATACATACATACATACATACATACATACATACATACATACATACATACATACATACATACATACATACATACATACATACATACATACATACATACATACATACATACATACATACATACATACATACATACATACATACATACATACATACATACATACATACATACATACATACATACATACATACATACATACATACATACATACATACATACATACATACATACATACATACATACATACATACATACATACATACATACATACATACATACATACATACATACATACATACATACATACATACATACATACATACATACATACATACATACATACATACATACATACATACATACATACATACATACATACATACATACATACATACATACATACATACATACATACATACATACATACATACATACATACATACATACATACATACATACATACATACATACATACATACATACATACATACATACATACATACATACATACATACATACATACATACATACATACATACATACATACATACATACATACATACATACATACATACATACATACATACATACATACATACATACATACATACATACATACATACATACATACATACATACATACATACATACATACATACATACATACATACATACATACATACATACATACATACATACATACATACATACATACATACATACATACATACATACATACATACATACATACATACATACATACATACATACATACATACATACATACATACATACATACATACATACATACATACATACATACATACATACATACATACATACATACATACATACATACATACATACATACATACATACATACATACATACATACATACATACATACATACATACATACATACATACATACATACATACATACATACATACATACATACATACATACATACATACATACATACATACATACATACATACATACATACATACATACATACATACATACATACATACATACATACATACATACATACATACATACATACATACATACATACATACATACATACATACATACATACATACATACATACATACATACATACATACATACATACATACATACATACATACATACATACATACATACATACATACATACATACATACATACATACATACATACATACATACATACATACATACATACATACATACATACATACATACATACATACATACATACATACATACATACATACATACATACATACATACATACATACATACATACATACATACATACATACATACATACATACATACATACATACATACATACATACATACATACATACATACATACATACATACATACATACATACATACATACATACATACATACATACATACATACATACATACATACATACATACATACATACATACATACATACATACATACATACATACATACATACATACATACATACATACATACATACATACATACATACATACATACATACATACATACATACATACATACATACATACATACATACATACATACATACATACATACATACATACATACATACATACATACATACATACATACATACATACATACATACATACATACATACATACATACATACATACATACATACATACATACATACATACATACATACATACATACATACATACATACATACATACATACATACATACATACATACATACATACATACATACATACATACATACATACATACATACATACATACATACATACATACATACATACATACATACATACATACATACATACATACATACATACATACATACATACATACATACATACATACATACATACATACATACATACATACATACATACATACATACATACATACATACATACATACATACATACATACATACATACATACATACATACATACATACATACATACATACATACATACATACATACATACATACATACATACATACATACATACATACATACATACATACATACATACATACATACATACATACATACATACATACATACATACATACATACATACATACATACATACATACATACATACATACATACATACATACATACATACATACATACATACATACATACATACATACATACATACATACATACATACATACATACATACATACATACATACATACATACATACATACATACATACATACATACATACATACATACATACATACATACATACATACATACATACATACATACATACATACATACATACATACATACATACATACATACATACATACATACATACATACATACATACATACATACATACATACATACATACATACATACATACATACATACATACATACATACATACATACATACATACATACATACATACATACATACATACATACATACATACATACATACATACATACATACATACATACATACATACATACATACATACATACATACATACATACATACATACATACATACATACATACATACATACATACATACATACATACATACATACATACATACATACATACATACATACATACATACATACATACATACATACATACATACATACATACATACATACATACATACATACATACATACATACATACATACATACATACATACATACATACATACATACATACATACATACATACATACATACATACATACATACATACATACATACATACATACATACATACATACATACATACATACATACATACATACATACATACATACATACATACATACATACATACATACATACATACATACATACATACATACATACATACATACATACATACATACATACATACATACATACATACATACATACATACATACATACATACATACATACATACATACATACATACATACATACATACATACATACATACATACATACATACATACATACATACATACATACATACATACATACATACATACATACATACATACATACATACATACATACATACATACATACATACATACATACATACATACATACATACATACATACATACATACATACATACATACATACATACATACATACATACATACATACATACATACATACATACATACATACATACATACATACATACATACATACATACATACATACATACATACATACATACATACATACATACATACATACATACATACATACATACATACATACATACATACATACATACATACATACATACATACATACATACATACATACATACATACATACATACATACATACATACATACATACATACATACATACATACATACATACATACATACATACATACATACATACATACATACATACATACATACATACATACATACATACATACATACATACATACATACATACATACATACATACATACATACATACATACATACATACATACATACATACATACATACATACATACATACATACATACATACATACATACATACATACATACATACATACATACATACATACATACATACATACATACATACATACATACATACATACATACATACATACATACATACATACATACATACATACATACATACATACATACATACATACATACATACATACATACATACATACATACATACATACATACATACATACATACATACATACATACATACATACATACATACATACATACATACATACATACATACATACATACATACATACATACATACATACATACATACATACATACATACATACATACATACATACATACATACATACATACATACATACATACATACATACATACATACATACATACATACATACATACATACATACATACATACATACATACATACATACATACATACATACATACATACATACATACATACATACATACATACATACATACATACATACATACATACATACATACATACATACATACATACATACATACATACATACATACATACATACATACATACATACATACATACATACATACATACATACATACATACATACATACATACATACATACATACATACATACATACATACATACATACATACATACATACATACATACATACATACATACATACATACATACATACATACATACATACATACATACATACATACATACATACATACATACATACATACATACATACATACATACATACATACATACATACATACATACATACATACATACATACATACATACATACATACATACATACATACATACATACATACATACATACATACATACATACATACATACATACATACATACATACATACATACATACATACATACATACATACATACATACATACATACATACATACATACATACATACATACATACATACATACATACATACATACATACATACATACATACATACATACATACATACATACATACATACATACATACATACATACATACATACATACATACATACATACATACATACATACATACATACATACATACATACATACATACATACATACATACATACATACATACATACATACATACATACATACATACATACATACATACATACATACATACATACATACATACATACATACATACATACATACATACATACATACATACATACATACATACATACATACATACATACATACATACATACATACATACATACATACATACATACATACATACATACATACATACATACATACATATATATATATATAAGTAGAGAGAGAATTGGCTGAAACGGGCTGAAATCTCGAACAAAGAAATAAATAGAAGAAAATTTACACTATACGGGTCATCATCATCATCCTCATCATTACCCCAGTGTTGCAAAGACTAAAGACTCCCCACCTTTGGTGGGGTAAGGAGAAGTCGGATGTACACAGTCTTACCCTTTTACTAAAAAAATTACACTCTACGATATCTCCATTTTTTGTATTTTCATGTACACGGAAATCGAACTCGAGACCTTGGTATAAGTTACATTGATTGCCTATAAGTATGCATGTAAATATGCTCGCGAGCATATCAAAGCATTTCAGGCTTGTCTCAAATGATAAATATAATGTTATAGAGGAATGATCTTGTCCAGACAGATGGACAGGTCCCTCCGTCTGGCCGCCATCGTTTGGGGCGGTTCCCGGTGAAACATTTTGATGAAAATTTTTGAGCATGAGTTCATACCCACCAAATTTCAGCTGAAAATTTAATCGGGGAGACGGTCAAATAATTTTTTGAAGATAACTGCGCCAAAATATACATATAAAACGTAGTTATCTTCAAAAAATTGTTTGATTACCTTCCCGATTCAATTTTTAACTGAAATTTGAACATAATCTACACTTCATGAATAACATGCTCAAAAAATTCCTCTGATAACGCCCCAAACGGCAGTGGCCAGACAGCTTTCGGACAGGATCTTTTTCCTAATGCTCTAAGCATATGCTTGAACTAACACATTCATATTACAGTTTGACCGTTAAAACATGCAGGATAATAATGCACATATATTTGAAGCATGTAGTCATCATCTATGAGAGGCGCACATTTGTTGTATCTTATCTCATATGTGGTTGTGTGTATCTTCAACTGGGTTGCCATACTGGTATGGGGCACTTTCGTCGTTGCCTGGAAATTCCCAATTTGCGATCACACCATCCCATGAGGAACTAACCAACATGGGTATGAAAGGGTGCCAGTTGCAATCTCTTACAGGTGCGTCGTGATAAACTAGCTTTGCAACTCGATCACCACTCACCTACAAGACAAGCAAACCAGCTTAAATCTATGAGTAAACTCGTCCACAATTATATACCTATTCCACGCCAGGAAAACCACATATATTCCTTGTCTTTTTTGTGATGTTTCCATGGAAATTGGTTTTCAAAAATATTTCACACGGGATACATACAGTCTTTGATGAGAGCAAAGTGGAGGACGAATATTCGTGTGAAGGATTGATCTCTTTTCTCTTTCCTCTCTTTTTTCTTTTATCTTGTTACCTTCTTTATTTTTCTTATATTCTTTATCCTTTTTATTGTATATATATTCTTTCTACCCTTTGTATCCGATCATTTTTATGTTTATCTTATATTTGTCTTTGTTTTTATCTTATCATCTTATCTTGCCTTATCTTTCTTTTTTGGCGCCGATATCATATATCATTTCATGTTAGCTGACCCCCAAAATCTTTTGGGACTATGACTTGAATGGTGTTGTTGCTATTGTTGTAGTGGTTATATACAGTAATAGAGCTTAAATTGATTATTATAAGAATTCTTTCATCACTTTGATATATTATACGGTCACCCACAAAGAATTTAGGCAAGAAGCACCTAGTATTAGACTGAAATTTCATTCTTAAAGGCTAACATGATAACGGAGCAATAATCCAAGACTTTGCAGGTGATATCATAACTTTATATCTTACCGATGTGAAATGGATTCACATGTCACATAAAATTGTGGCTTGCTAGAAAAGACTAATCTTAAAACTTGTGTGCTGTTTTTTGCCAAATCAACTAATCGTTTGAGTTTGACTGGCTTTAGAACTAGATTAATACTTGTGAGTCCATTAAAAGGTTAACCTAAAAATGTTTTTATTTGGATGGTATGGATGACTCAACACATCATAATTCATACATGATACCTCAAGTGGTTGATATATGGTTCTTATGAGAACCCCTCTTAGATGTGTAGAACATCTTTTAAAATGAGAATTTTAACTTTCACCTTTCATTTTATTAAAATATTTTTATAATTATTTATGAATAATTGCAAAAAAAACTAATTTAAAATTAGGATACTTACAAAAATGACATCTTATGAGCATGGTTTTACAGGGCGGGTTTTGAGGCGCGCCTCAAGGTGAGGCGTACAGAAAAGGTTTTGAGGCTTAGGTTTTTTTGCAGGACAAGAAGTTTACGCCTCAAAAGTAAGGCATATGCCCTGAGGCGCGCTTTGATGTGTTTTTCTAAGGCATTTTTCCTGTGCTTCTATTTGTTGAATGTGCTTGTAGCTTAAAAAGTCCCACTATTTTTATTTAAAAAAGGCCTGTGATTTTAATTAATAAAAGTCACATATATTAACATGTGTCTGCGACTCTGCGCTAAACCCTAACAAGTCTTGTTTCATTTAAACCCTAGCATATATTTCCTATCAAGCATTCTACATGTCATTAAAATTTATTCATACTTTTGCAAAAAGAAGCGGATGGGTAACCAAGGAAAAATAAGAAAAATAAACAAGTAATGGAGGTAACTCATGATGAAGAAGAGAAAGAATTTAAGGATTTTGATAGTGATGATAGAAGGGATGACGGTGAGAAGGCTATAAGATATAATGATTCTTCCGAAGACCGTCCAGTCGTGATGATTAAGCATCGAGAGTTTCAAATTTTCATGTGTGTGAAGTGTCTGTTTTGTGTTTGGATTCACATTGAGATATCATGTTTGATGATGTGATCATATATGTGTTTGTGTTTGAGATTTTTTGGACTTTATTATGCATATCTATAGTTGTTTATTACTAGTTTAACTATTACTACCTCCGTCCCGGTAAACTTTGCCAAGTGCAAAGTAGGTGAGAAATAAGAATAGTAAAAATTGTGTGGTTGAGATTTGTAAAGAGGAGAGAAATGTGCAGAACCACAAATTAGTTGTTTTAATAGGAAAGTGACAGTTTTTTTGGAAAACCAAAAAGTGAAAGTTGGCAAAATCCAATGGGACGGAGGGAGTATAAGTTTTACTTGTTGATAAATTTTGAAACTTACGCCTCAATACCACTCAAGGTTTGCGCTCGCCTCTCTCAAACAAACCACCTCGATACCCGAACTAGCCTTTTTAAACCCTGCTTATGAGCACTAACCATTAATTGAAAAAATTAAAGGTGTAGATTAAAAGTTCTCATTGTAATATGTGTTCCCATAGAAACATCCCCAGACCCACATATACATCATATAAGTACACACGCATTACGAACATTTTAGTGGTAATCTATAGTTCGGGTAAAAAAAATTAGGAGATCAAACATTTTGGGGCATACCAGGTCATAAATATAAACAGAAGAATCAGTTGATCCAGTGTAGATATACTTTTGCCCAGTGCTGCAACATTAGTAGCCATTGAAAATTTGAAACATGTTATTATCATTCACATTTCAATAATCTATGAGGTAAATAATGAACCCTAACTCCTAAGCAATGAATTCCATGCATGAGGTTACTTAATTTGGAAGCTACACTGGATGAGGTTGAAAATAGCTTAGCAAAGTGCATTCATGGCATGGTTTAAAAACTAAACCTAAATATATCAGTATATTACCATTGATTTAACCTTGAGCAATACACCAAGTTGTCTTGGTAGATTTGGCCCAATTTCAAAAAGGGGACATAACCTAGCACTTCCCAAGAAGTTGTGCAGGGAAAAGTGATGATCAATATAGAGGGTGTTTGGACCTGCTTCTTTTTTAAAGCAGAAGCAGAATCAGTTTTCAGAAGTTGGTCTCCCCCAACTTCTAAAAAACTGCTCCTAGGAGTAAATTAGAGCACCAGAGGTACTTCTGCACAGACACTCCAACTTCTTTTGCTTCCAAAAGTTTTAAGAATCAGATCCAAACGCCCCTATAATCTATTTTGGTGAGCTTAATCAAGAGATGAGATGAACCATCGTATAAGAATAAGGAGGAACAACTTGTAACATCAAGGAATTGGACCATATGAAGGTGAAACAAAAAGCACAAGAAAACAAGGATCGCTTGTTTTTAAGGAGGTTTTTTGAAACAAGAGTGTTTTGGTTGAAACTACAGAAGCCGTGTTTTGGTCCTATGGGATACATCTCAACTGATTCACCGTCCTTCTAAATTATGCCGTCGAGGTAACAAAACATATCATCAACCAGGATCTCCTTACCAACTACCGTTCAAGCTAATTCATTGCTACAATTACCAAGGTGAGAATATATTTGGAAATATCTACTCTTGATCTTTTTTATCAAACATTTCGAGTTTTATATGAATGTGATAAAAAAAATTAGTTATTGTTTCAAAATAATTTCAGTATTCAAAATTTTGAAATTTAAATTACACTATTTGAAATATTCTTTTTGTATCACTTATTTAGTGCAATACTTCCACTGCCCCACAAAACTTTGCTCACTTCCTTATTTAGCCTTCCTAAAAAGTATCAAGTCCATTTAAACTAATAAATACGTAGTATATGATTAAATTTATTTCTCTCTCCTACGTCCAAATATCTACCACAAAGTTTTTATTTTATTTTCCACATGCAAATCAACTTTGGACAAATTTTACGGAATGGAGGGAGTATTAATATTACATCATCTGCAAATCAACATTGCCCTTCTAGTAAATCGCAAAAGAGAAATGCAAAAGCTAGTTACCCAAACACTTTAAATTGATTCTCTATTTTGTAGAGCACAATCAATATCAAACACTCCCGCCAAAATCTCCTTTTCATAAAGAAGAAAAATTGGATTATGCTTTTACTTTTTTAAAGACAAGCAAAATCAATTCCACACACACACTTACTTGATATGTGTGACAACATATTTTGCCCCACACTGGTGAATATAGGATAATGATTAAAATAAAAATTGCCATAAAATACCTATGTGCTGGAGAAAAGTAACAGTGTATCAGCGTGCGCAAGACTGAATGCCCTTTGTATGTTGACAATGACAGGTCATGTGGGTGTCTCTTATTTCTCAAATGCTGAGGGTATTCCATCCATCTATAATCCCACTCATGCTTCCGAGGCCTAGGAGTGCTACAATTAATACATTATTATCCAAGAGCTAAGCTATGGGATCCACACTCAATATATAAAATACAAATATAAAATGGAATAAACAAACAACATGAGTAAAAAGAAGATATACTAGTTCACATTTGAAGACATTTTTCTGATATCCCAGAGTTTGATTGCCTGATCTTTTCCATTTGAGATGAAGTAACGGCCATCTCCTCGAGTATCAATGAATGTGATGCCTTCTAGATGGCCTATGAGGACCCCAGCTGCTTTCCTATCAGAAGCGAAGCAGCGTCTATCCCAAACCTGAAAGTATCACAGATTCTTTTATTGATTATGAAGTGTTAATATTTGCTTAAATAATCAAATTTCCATAGTAGTAGGAGTGTAGGAAACTATAATCAAACAAAAAAGGGTGAATTTGACTTTGCACCCCTTTTTTTGGTTGATATTGAGCTTTGCACTCCATTTTAAGAATCATTAATGTGTGCACCCCATTTAGCATAAAATCATTTGACTTTGCACCCCCCACTCTTTCACAATATTTGGACTGATGGGGTGCATACATTAATGGTTCTGAAAATGGGGTGCAAAGTCCGATATAACTCAAAAAGTGGGGTGCAAAGTCCAATTCCCCCAACAACAAAAACTAATAACAAATGGAGAATATCTATCATTAGGCCATAAATATATGGGACAATTGTCAAATAGGCCCCGTACTATATCAAAAACGGCAATTAAGTCCTCGTACTATAAAAACACACAATTAAATCCTCAAATTATCAAAATACACCCAATTTAGCTTTTTACCCGGTCATTTACAGATTAGCCGGTTGAAACGCTAACATGTACTTCCATGTATTTCTTTTTTTTGGGAATCTTAAAACATTTTTCAATTGTTCATCAAGAAAGAAACCTCTGGCCTGAGAGCAGCAACCGGAGTGAGCAACAGTGTGTGGCGGCGGTGCTTTGTTGATCGAACCCCACAGCCCTAGAGCTGAAGAAGATCGAGTTAGATTCCTCACGCAACAGGGTCTGAAAACTTGCACATGGCACATCTCTCGAGAATCCACAACTGTAAATCATCAACACTTAACAGATCTATATCAAAGGTCGGGGCGGATGTTTACCACTGGAATTTCCATATGGAACTTCTTCTCCGACAGAAGGATGTGAGGCGCCGCTGTACGGGTTCTGTTGATGGTGCATCTCTGGTAGGCAAGGGTGATCTGGCGGTTATGCGTGGGAGGAATAGCCAACCTCTCATCCCCTCTTCCAGCTTTCTGCTTCCATTCGCTCTCATGTTCTCCGGCAACATTCCAGATTAAATGGATTCTTTTTTTGAGTTTTTTCACGACTTTACTTTTTTTGTTATAATAAAGAAGAGTCGACGAAGACGGAAGACCTGATTTGGTTTTTCTTGTGAAACGGTTGTTTTCTACGTTGATGTTTTTCATGGAAAAATCAAATTGAAGAAAAAGATTGAAGGAGAAGAAGAATTAAAAAACCACCGCCTTGAGTCATCTTCGTCACTAAAACTTCCTTCCATCTCTGGGAGCTTACAAAGAACACTCAAATGGAAGAAGTAGAAACAAATTAAAAAAATGAGTAAACTTATGTTTTAGATCCTCACCCAATTTTAATTAATTTAAGCAGGAAAGAAACAATTGAGAAATAAATTTGCAGAAACAAAAAAGCAAAGAAAGATAGAGCGGGTGAAGAAGACGATCAAGTCATTGAAGAAGAAGACAGAAGGAAGCAGAAGATCCCGCATGGATTTTTTTATAAAAATAACGCCACCTCAACACCCATGTCAGTGTGTAAATGTGTAATAACCGGCTAACTTGTTAGTTGTTAGAAACTGGCTCAAAAGCCGAATTGGGTGTATTTTAATAGTTTGAGGGTTTGATTGGGCGATTTTTAAGTATGAGGGTTTAATGCTTTAATTGCTGTTTTCGATATAGTACAGGGGCTTATTTGATAGTTTTCCCTAAATATATCAAGTACTAAAACATGTTACCCAAGGCCTCAAATACTTTCACAGAAAACAAGTAATATCTGATCTATATTCCATGAACCCGTCTTCCCCATCAAAGTGTCATGTTTGTAATACTATTTCTGTAAAACTAAAATAATTGATTGCAATACTAAAACTAACAGGGAATATTTTACTTAGCCCCATGCTTCATATATATGCTGATAAATGATAACTAAATCATAAAATATCTTTAGTGTCACTCCCGCTTTTTTCAACTTTCGCTAAGTTATCCAATTACTAGTCTTTGTTTACTTTAAATATGTTCACCAGTATATCATTTCATTGATATTAAAGAGGTAATATGGTTTACCTTGCACAGACTATCATCGCTTCCAGAGTATATGAGATGGCCACTTTCATCAGCAAAACATACAGCATTAACATCAGACTGAAAAAAGAAAGGCAATAAAAATGTTTTCATTGTTACCACGCATACAGAAAAAGCTTTTTAAATCACTTCTTAAGAAGTATCAAGTACGTATATTCGTCATACAAATGTACATACATATGAAAACATCTTGGAACTCATACAACTTATAACATCACGATGAGTTTCGGAGAATAAAACATCGATACATAAATAGATGTATGGTTACAAAAACCTGATGAGCAGTGATATGAAGGCTTAGTTTTTTTGTTTCAAGATCATAAACATAGATCGAATCATCACTGCTACCAGCTACAAGTTCTCGACCATCTGTAGAAAATTTAACAGAGAAGATTCCAAAGGAATAATCATCATAGTCATCGACTTCTGATGAAAACGCTAGACCTTCATGAATTTCCTGCAGAAAACATACATGATATAATAAATGTGAGTGAATCACATATCGTAATATCAGTGGAACCAAGCACGAAGTGCATATCATTTCCGTCCATATTGAAACTCTATTTACTTGATGTTTACAAAGTAAATCTTGAAAATAAAATGATACTCCCTCCGTCCCATAAAATAGTTCCCACTTTCCTTTTTGGGTTGTCCCAAAAAATAGTTCATGTTTCCCTTTCTGGAAAGTTTTGTGTGGCTACCAATCATTTAATTTTTTCTTACTCAACCACAACCATACATTTCCACTTTGTTCCCACTTTCTTAAACTCCGATCCAAAATGGAGTGGGAACTATTTTATGGGATGGAGGTAGTATATGATTTTAATAAAACCAGAACTCTAATGCTTTTGTACAATGTAAACATCCAAAACTAACAATTCATACTGTAATATTTGCAAGAGACTCTTTTGTAGCAGATCCAACATCAACAATATGTACAATGGGTGAGATACTAGAATAAACCTGCAGTTATAAAGTGAAAGACAATATCAGAATGCATAACTGGATATATGTTTGTATACATATTAAATTACTTAAACTTAAAGAATATTAATAGGTTGGAAGGAAAAACATAACTGGTCACTAAAAGATGTCATTGAAAGTGAAACAAAGGGCAACTTGATGTTTAGAAACATTGACTTTTTAAGAAAGATTTTTATATATGATAGGTGTTAGATCAAAAAGCTTTTTAAATCACTTCTTAAGAAGTATCAAGATGTATAAGTTACAATATCACATTAACTTCCAAAAGTTCATTCTGACTCTGTTCTCACGTCCCAGTAGCAATCTTGCATAACTATAATGTAATTCTTTACAAACTTTCATGGTTAAGTTCCCTGAAAAAACAAGAACAATAGAACTAGTTACACTACTTATCGTGCTAGATGGAAAATCCATTAAACTACCCTGTGTGTCCCTAGGCCACGTTCTTTCCCATCACTTATGGTAATAGACTAATAGTAAAAAGATTATACTCTCAACTTTTCCAAGAAATTTTCCATTGGAATCAAATAATAATAATAATAATAATAATAATAATAATTTATTAGAATATTGCTTTAGAATATTGCTTTTTACCTCAACACTAAAAATTAGGGCAATTATGCTTCAAGAAAATTAAAATATAAGTAGGATGCAGTGTAACTAAGATGAGATATGATGGATAACTATTCATTTTTTAATAAAAAAAAGAAAGAATACATAAAGAAATGGAGGAGGATTGTAAGACTTAGGTATCTTTTCAAAGGGAATTTCGACATTTGGTACTTCCACAACAACAACAACAACATCCAAGCCTTAATCCCAAAAGAATTTGGGGTCGGCTAACATGAATCGATCTATGATATCGATGCCAAAAAGAGAAGGCGGACAAGAAAAGGAAAAAAAAGTAAGATAAAATGAATAAAATAAAGATACATAAATATAAGATAACAATAACACAAGAATATAACCAAGGTAAAAGAAAAATAAATAAAAGAGCATAAAAAAAGCTAGAAGATAAAAATAACATAAGAATATAAAAAGATAAGGAAGATAAACGATAAAAGAAACAAGTGAGGAAAGGTAGACAAAACATCAATCGTCCACATGGATGTGCGCCCTCCACTTTGCTCTCTCCAAAGCCATACTCTCATCCAACCTAAGAAGACGCATATCAATTCTGATTACTCTAATCCAAGTCTGTTTGGGTCTTCCCCTCCCTCTCTTCTCTGACTCTTCTCCCCACCCCTCAAGTCGTCTAACAGGTGCATCACTCGGTCTTCTATGCACATGCCCATACCACCGCAAACGAGACATTTGGTACTTCCAAGAATTAAAAAAAGAACAAAAATCATATATGTGAAAGTAAAATACTAAAAAAGAGGAAAGAGTGAAAGAATAATTTAGAAGTCCAACCGAAAAATAAAGATTCTTTAGTTCATTAGTTAAGACTTAAGACAACCAATCGTAGAGATTATTAAATTCTCATAGAGATAATAGTTGGGAGAATTCATGTTTTTACATTGGGGGTACTTACATATTTATACTAAAATATACTCCCTCCGTCCCAATTTGTAAGATACTTTACGATTTGCGATGTTTGACCAACGATAAAGCAAATTGATCCCTGTCAACACTCAAATTAGTTTTAGAAAATAAAATTTACATATTCAGAAACTACATTAAAACCGCTACAAAACCTGCAAAAAATAATTCAAATTTCATAAACTTTTGTTATATAAAGTAAAAGATTAAGAGTGATTTATGTTGACCAAGTGAATAGTAAATGTATCTTACAATTTGGGACTGAGGGAGTAATTACTTATGGCTAAATATCTACATTTTATGGGAGGCATGTGCCCCCATTAACCAAAGCCTACATCCGCCCATGGGTTCTAGTTGATACATTTCCTTTCTTTCCTTTCTTTTTTATTGTCCCATCGTGGGTATATCAGGTGGGTACAGTTGTGTGTGTATACATATATGTACAATTATAAATATACATTTATGTACATTTATGTGTGCGTATGTGTGAGAATATGATGGAATAAAGCAAACTGGCTCACTAAACTATTTGCGTTTCTTGTTATGAAGCAGCACTCAGTCCATGCAATTTTGGACACAATTTTCATTATGGGTCATCCGGAAAGACTCTCTGTGCTTTAGTACAGGGATAAGATTGCGTACATCCGACCCCCTTACTCCACCGTAGGTGAGAGCCTTTGCAGCATTTGGGTAATGATGATGATGATGGTACTTCCAAGAATTACATTATTTCTTGAGATAACTATTAATCTTTATACATCTAGTCCACAACTTTTGAAGTGTTCCAGATTTAATCTAAGTTTTCTAAGATGTCCTCAAGTGTAGTAGAATGAAGTCAATGAACATCTATTACATATTCACAATGTAAACAGATTATGGATGAAATATGAAGCACTTCAAAGTTAGAGATGAAAAATAGAAGATATTGAAGTCGATGATCGAAAGTGAAAATGTCAATATACTCAAGGGAAAACGGGTGAATTGCACTCTCTTTACATATTTCATATTGAAGATGAAAATTATGTGCCTTGTGTGAACTTGATTCACAATGTTTAAGCTAAAACTGATGTAAATAAGCAAGTAGGCATCTTTCTACAGTTGACTTCAAAGACAGTTAGACAGCATAAATACAGACTACATTTTTTGTTATAAATAGAACACAATAATGGAAAGCAGAACTTAGTCACCCTCCTACTGAACAATGATACTTTAATGAGAAACAACTAGCCAGCAAAAAGAATAAGGAAACAAATAATTACCAATTTAAAGAAACAACTTAGCAAAGTAAAAAAAAATATAGCCAATTATGAAAGGGTGTAGCAACTATACCAGAAAACGTTGATCAGGCGAAAGTGATGTATCTGTGATTGTCCATCGCATGCTTCTGGCACGTATGTCCTTCTGAACTTTCCACCCATGATCAACATTATATACTCTAATATGGTTTTCCTATATGATGGACAAAAACGTTGTGGGTAATTCAGTGACATATACATGTTGCCACCACTTGCTCCAAGTCTGAGAAATGAACTGATATAGACATACCTGAAAACTAGTGATAAACAGAGAACCATCTGCAGAGAATTGAGACACATATGCAGAACTTCTATTTCTATCTACTACTGAAGGGCCGTAAACGGGTAAATATCGGCCTAGAACATGACAGCAATCTGCAGAAGTGAATCTTCCTCTCCCATTATAGTTCACTTCCCTCCTTCCAAGCATTTTCACTGGGGAAACAGGTAAGTTGACCTTGCCTGGTCTGGCCCCACGTATATTAGGGCTGGAGCAAATCCTTGTAAGTTGCCCGATTTCATGATCAAGACTTTTCGATCCATAACGACACAGAGTTTTATCTCTAGTTTTAACATCACCAACATCAAAGCGCCTTCGAGAACTACTCATTTTCTATACTGTTTTATGACCTTCCTCTGAATATATGTCCTCCAATCCGGAAGACCGAAATGAACCAACTTAGCTCATGTCAAAGAAGACTTGCTAAAAATCCAGAATAAAACGTTGCAAAGACATGCAAGAAAATTTCACCACAGACTGTCAGCTCAAATTAGCTCAAAAAGTTCAATAACGCAAAAATGAAACGAGGAATCAAAAGGATGAACCCTCAATTCGACGCTTGAAACTAAATGGAAAAATGAAATTTCAGGTTGCAAGCCCAAGAATAGAACAAGTAGTACCTTTGGTAATTTGATTCGAAGAGGCAATGGATTTGCGAATATTACTTAACAAATAATACGAAGTACTAACTCCCTATCCTAGAATCTCTTACAGGAGTAGAACTTTATAAACTTTGACCATTAATTATTCAAAATTCATATTATGTTATGATTAAAAATTTATTTCATATACCTCATTGTAAAACATACTATTTGAATGTTAATTTATTAATAATTTTATAAATATAGATATGTAAAAATTTAGAGTCAAAGTTCAACTTAGAAGACCGTCAAAATTGGAAGATCTTTGTGTTACGGAGGTAGTATATTATTATTGTGTCAGCAGGAGAGTGAAGCTCAGGACGTAGTTGATGACCGGACATGGGGATTGAAAGCCCTTGCTTTGATCAGCCAGAACCGTGAAAACTCCCAAACTTATCGGTTAGTCAATTTCTACCCATTTTAAGATATGGATGGGATAACCCTGCTCCAAACCCGATAATCGTCCAGCTCAGTCCGGTCTAAAAAATTGATGTTGGTTTGGGATTTATGTTTTATCTCGTGATTTGCATAAATTACTCAAACCAAGCTTAGACGGCCTAGATAACTTATGAGTATTTTTGATACAACGTGCTGAAAAGATATTTTTATAGTTATTTTTTAATAAAACAATTTTTAGTGATTGAAAAGATTTTTTTTTAAAAAAATGTGCTAACTGTTTGATAAAAAGTTGACTGTATCATTTAGTTATATTTGGTATACAAACTGTTGGAACTAACTAGATTCTCACCCGTGCGTTGCACGGACAGAAATTATGTGAAAGTTGTGTTTCCATATTTGTGTATATTATTAATTCAAGTACCAATGTATGCAAATAGATGAGACGCAATATACATAATAATTTATAATTAACGAATTGATAGTTAAGACTTATGCATTCGTAATAAGTAAGTTTTGAAGTAAGTAGAAATAAAGACATATTACATAAGTTAACATTTTTAGTAATTAAGTACAAAGTTTTTCCTATTTTGAATTTTAATGTTATCTTAATTGTTGAAAGGAATTTATTTGAATGCCTTCCCAATTGAATTGTTAGCTGAAATTTGGTTTGATTAAAAGTCCTTAACTTCTTGAGGTTTTGGATTTAAAAGGAAATCTTTTACCAAAGAAGTCAAGTCGGCCACATGACTTTCCAACGAGTTGTTGGATTCCGCTCCCATGACTCGTTTTGATTATGACCTCCCGTTGTAATGTCTTGAATTTTCGGCCAACTCCGAAATGAGGTCTCTTGCTTGAGAAGGGGTTTTGTTAACAATACCCCCTATGCATGCCGCATTCACCATGCGTCTATCTTGATCAACAAGACCATCATAGAAGTAGAGGATGAGATCTTGTTCCGAATACCCATGACATGGGCAACTAGCACGTAATTTTTTAAAGCGCTCCCAATATTCGTACAATGTCTCATCATCCGCTTGCTCAATGTTGCTGATTTGCTTCTTGAGACTTGAAGAGATAGAAGCGGGATAGTATCTGTCAAGGAAGCTCTTTTTCGTTTGAGCCTATGTATTGATACTTCCGAAGGAAGATAGAATAGTCAGTCCTTTGCGGTGTCTTTTAGAGAAAATGGGAAAGCTCTCGGCTTGATTTGCTCCTCGGACACGCCATTGGGGCACATGCTTGTGCACACAATATGGAACTCTGACAGGTGTTTGTTCGGATCTTCCCCTCGTAGACCATGGAAAGAGGGAAGTAGATGAATGAGCCCAAATTTTAGCTCGAATGTGACCCCTGTATCAAGAGTTGGAAAAGTGATACATAAGGGTCGTTGATTAAGATTCGGAGCCGTGAGCTCCCTCAATGTTCTAGTTTCATGAGCCATAGTGATTGGCTCTTCGGTGTCGCTAGAATGAGAACTAGCACTTGATGATTCTCCCGAGTCGGAGCTTGAGAATTTATTTTTTAACCGCTCTAGAGTTTGTTCTATTTCGGGGTTTGATTGGTAGGTGATTTCATTCAGTGAACGATATTTAACCATATACTACAAAGCTCAGAAGAAATAGAAATCTTTATACTTGAATAATATATTTTTTCTTTTTAAAATCAAAATAAAATAAAAAGAAAAATTAATTGCCTTTTCCCCGGAAACGGCGCTAATTTGACGAGCACTTTGTCGTAGTGCGTCAAAAAAATATTCAATACTAACACTTATACGTAGTATAGCGTAGTAGAGTTCGTATCCACAGGGAAATGAATACTTTTCTTTTTATGAACCTAGTAAATAAAAGGGGGGTTTTCGGTTTGAATGATTTAATTAAATTAAAAACTAAGATGAACAACTTATATGTGTTTTGATTCAAAGATAAAAGGAAATTGGCTTTGCTACTTTCCACTTGTTGATATATTTAGTCGATCCTTGTTATATCTATAACTTATCCCCTCTCGAATACTCAATCGATGAGTATAATCAATTCATCGAGGGTAGTTATTAACAACGACTGTTTATTAATAACTCTTACTATTAATCAAATATAGAACAACGCCTTATACCGATTTAATAGTAGCATTAAATCTTTCTAACTCCTTGATGAAATCAATTGAGATTGATAACCTCAACACAAATGTTTCGGTTTAACTAACAAAATTAATCCCTCTTATATCTATTAACCACGACCGTGCATTAATAAACCAAAGTTACTTACTTGTGAAACCATCAACGATTAACCATCGACTCGTTGATCGTTTCTAGTAATAATTAATGTCAAAATGTTAACTAATCGTCACTTAGCAACACCCCAACATTAATATAGAATGAAATTAAGGGAAGAATTAATAACTCATCGGTTCGTTGATCGTTGATCGTTTCTAGTAATAATTAATGCAACTTGATTTCTCATTGATCTCTTTGCTCCCCCTCAATAGGAGTACTCAGCAGGATGCATTTGACGTTGTTTGGTGGTTAGGAAGAGAACTTTGAAACTACCCCTGAAAAGGTGCGTCCTTGAGTTGTCTTGCATTGATCAATGTATAGCGCCAGGAGGAGAAAAGTGTAACTCCCCCTCAAAAGTTGCAAGTGGTATTGTTTCTCGAGTATTATACATTGGCAAGTCAATTGAGACTGAGTTGGTGCACCGAGTACAGGTGTAGCTCAAGGAGTTTGTCAGGTTCTGCAAACCGTCCACCATGAATTTGTTCTCATCATACAGGACATGGTAGTGGGCCAGCTGGTTTGTCCCCTGGATGCCAGCATTGTTGCACATGTTAAAATCAAACTCCATTGGGTGACTTATCTTTATGTCCACCATAATACCTGGGAGAATGTTTCCACTCTAGTTTGACATGTTGTGGCATTTTGGAATTGTGCTTTGGAGAACTTTGATCAGTAGAGAGTATACACGTCAATACTTTCCTTTATAATGTGCAGTTTTGATTGCCCACAGCTCGTCTTCATACCTGCCACGTGTGTGGAGCAATCAGATAAATTACGACACATGACAAAACTACAAAAGATTAAGAGACCTTTAGTACCCACCTCAAGATGGGTCTTACCTTATTAGTGGAAAAGAAATCATGAAATTTTTGTTTCGTTTTGGACCCTAAGTCAGTTGCCCTTGAAGCATCTTGAGGTCTATCTGTGACAACTTCTGACTTTGGGATCCATTTTTTATTATTTGCAAATGTGAGAGAGTTTTCAGCGCAGGTGAATGATGGAACATGAAGCGAATATTTATCTTCGTGCTTGTCTTGAATACATTGATTTTGAGAAATAAAGATTTTCTCCATTGATAGTCGTTTAAGATGTTTGGCTGAATAAACCTTGAGGGGATATTTAAAATAAACATTATCACAAAGAGTATAGGTTGAAGCTTTAAAGCTCTTCGGTTTAGATGTGCCATCATTCACATCACAATGAGGTTTAGAAGCTTTAGCCTTTTGTTTACGATTCTTAGGTTTTCTAACCTCTACACTAGAATGAGAAAACACACAGCCAAATTCATCAGAAGAAGACTAAGAAGAATAATGCATGACAGAGCTAAACGACTGACATCTTGAATTTGAACTTTCTTTAAAAATACTCTTTGAAAAAGGAGAGGAGGTAGAGACTATGTTTGTAATGGGGGCAGTTTTTAGATTGGAAATCTCATTTAAAAGATGTTCCTTTCTGTTTTGAAAACCTCTATTTCAGTTTCTAAAGATTGTTGGTGATTTTAGTATCACCGGGTTCATTTTAGTGTAATGGAATTTACAGATTACCAATGGAGTTCAAGTTTAATTTTAGACAAGTTAGGAGGTGCGGAGCGCACACTTGTACGAAATTAAATTTAAACTTGGTTCGATTAAATGGCAGGGGTCAAGGGGGCTGCGCCCCCTTGCGGGGTCCAAGGGGCAGCGCCCCGGACCAAAATTTTATTTTATTAAAGAAATAAATATGGAAATTTATTTTCGGATAAACATGTCCATATTAATTATTTAATAGAATGACTTTCTGTTAGAGTAAAACTCTAACTGATTGGCCTTATCTCTTTGGTAATCAGAAGAATTCGAGTTCTACTAAAACTGCTAGTTCGTGGTCTATATATTGGTGCCTCGGTTTTAGACTGTCTCTCAGAGTGATTATCCCCATAATCTAAATTTCGTGTAACCCAGGCATAGGGTCGAAATATTAGATTCGGAAAGTGATCACACGATACTCTGAGAAATCCGCCAGATTTTCTATAACAGTTTCCCAACTCCCCAGTTTTAACATTCACAAGGCTTAATGATAGTAATTGTAACGTTTTAGGAATTATTAGACTCTTTAATGTAATTAAGGAAGGTATTTATTGTAGTTGACCATCCTTTATGATAGATTTGGAATCGTCATAACGGATGAATTCATCGGCTCAACACGTCAGTAACAGATGAAAGGGTCCCGAGAGTGTTAATTACATCTCCTATAAATAGGAGTGAATCAAATTCTAATCAATTAGCTTCTCATTCAAATAACACACTAAATTACATCATATTTTGCTCACTTGTCATCTTTCTTATTGTTCTTGTACGAGA